AAGTATTTAATTTTATAAAAGGAGTAGTTTACTTGTGAAAATTATAATAAAATCAAAGCTAAATAACTTTTAAATTATTCAATATTTCAAATATAAATAAACTGAACCAATTTCATTCGATAGTAGAATATAAGTCTAGAAAACATCTGGTTGCTACTAATGTCAAACGAATTACCATAGAAGAAGAATGATTCCGTTTCCGATCACGTGAATCGCTATGCGTGACAAGTTAATTCTCGAGAGATATTATTACATTTTATCTAGAGGCTGTACTACGTATTATTTTAATTAAATAAACATTAATACAATTTATTATAACTAATTTAAATAAAATACGTTCCATTCAATTCAGTTCGATAGGTGTAATTCTGTATCACAAAATACATTCCAATTAATGATTTAATTTGCATATTTTATTCGCCATTATTTAAAAGAAAAGCAAAATAGTTAATTAACTATATCTGTTTTACATTATTCATTACAAACGTACTTTAAATAGGCAACCGACTTGACCTTTGATATTTCTTTTGGTTAGCGTAAAGTAACGATTGAAATTTTATTTAATACGTTCGTATGTCTTAACGACCAACAATATATATTTATTTATTGCACTAGATCAAATATCGTTTAGGAAAAGTAGACAGGTACTAATAATATTAATAAGGCATACGATTAACTTTCTGCGAGTTTTTTTTTATGTCAATCGATTGCGTACTTGGCGTTGATATAGCAAAATGTCAGTATGGAGTGGTTGATGTGTCCTTCGAGAAGACAGTCCGGTGTCACGTAAGTGCCATCTATCGTCGGAAAGTGGAACGTGAATCAGACAGATCTGCAAGCCAATTACTCCCAAAATAGCAGAAACAACGATTTAACAGACAGGCTAACGAGATACGAGTTCCCTCTAGTGACAACTGCGAGAAGTGCAAATATCCTCTGCACTACTATTGGAGAGAAGTACTTTACTTACAACTTCTACCCAGGTAAGTTTTATTCTAACATAATTATGGGCTTTCTGGTATTACAACTATATTGTTAAGTTTTAGAAAGGAACGAAATATAAAGACATTTTAAATTTATTGTACTGTTTCTTCTATTTTTGTGAATTTTAAACATGCCTATCGTCTATTATTTTTTCCATTACAATTTAGGTTATTGTTTACTTCATTTATGTAATTTAATAATAGTACAGGTTAAGTAAACATCTAATTTATAATGTATGATNTATATTACTCACATCTCATAAAAATAATGTTATATTATCATTAATTAACATATTATTTCAATTTTACATAAATATAATTCAATTTTATTACTTTTTAAATGTATTTTTTTATTTCAATCAAGGGAGAACATTTTCATATTTTTACTGCAATTATTACATAGCAAATGCAATGATTTAAAATCAATATAAAATAAGAGAAAGAGAAAAATTGAAGAATAAATTATTTTCATGTATAATTAATGGAAGTTATAATTATAAAAGAAGAATAATAATAAAAAATTAGGCTATTCCTTTTTATTGCTCAAAAAATCAAAATGTCCTTTAAAACATTAAGCTGTTTTATAACTATAAATCACAAATTCACATATAACCGAGGTAAATGTATACAAATATGGTTCACCTGGATACCGGGTGTGGTCAATATTAACAGAAGCACTTAAATCTATGTCTATTATATCGTCCCATTTATCCAGTTTGGAAATTTTATGGAAATATTAAAATGCTTTTCTGCTTTCTTTTGTGTTTTTTACGTGAAAATTCATCATTTTAGAAGTCAAATACGTTAAATTTTTTGAACTTGTAGGCTATATTCGTTTATCTAATAATATTTTTTTTTGAGTTCAAACTCTTGATAATGTAAATATTTATTTATAATAATGTTTATCAGGCCATAAATAAATTAACAACAACTTTATTATTATCATGATTTATAGTAAATTTCTGAATGTTTTCATCATTATTAAAATTAATGCAGATGATAAATTATTAACAATTTCTTACGTTTAATTAAATGCCTACTTAAATTTTTCTGCTTAAAATGAATTATAGAGGAGCAATACTAGAAATTTTTTAAAAAGTATTTTAAAATAAATTACTCAATTATATTTTTAGAAAGGTAATATATTTTTGAGTAATTTATATTCTTAACTTTTTTAAGTTTGTTTAAATTTATATACCGTGGAATAATTATGAGGAGAATTAAATGGTTCATGGAACACGCAGCGAATTGGAATATTCAGAGAAGATCCATACACAGTCTTCATGCCATAATGACAAGTTTTAGGTAGAAAACTAAAGAAAAAGTTAGAAAAGCACGTTTCAATTTAAGGACTTCTGCTACGACGCTGTTAAACTTTTACACCAAACCGATAACACTACTGTAAAGCCCCATAAGTAACTTTAAGTTGAAAAAATAAAGGTAGAATTTTGGAAAAGATCCAGTGTGAAGTAGCATTGTCGTACTAGTCACGTTTCTGCAGCATGTTTGATAAGCGAATGTTACCAAGGTAACGTGTAACCTATTCTGAAAAAGCCTCCTAACACGAATTCACATTCAGCGGTAATTAATTCCGGATAGAAATTTAATTAAGAGAAAGAAGAAAGTAATTTATTCTGTTAAGACTATTTCGTCTTAGTTAATATTGTTATTAAGAAAGTAATTCGTTTGAATGAAAGATGTGTGTTGCTTACAAACTCCTCTTTTGATATCGTTTTTCTTAATGAAAACAACCTTTAAATATTCTCTTATAAACTTCTCTCAAATAAATAAAAATAAAAATGAGGTTCTCACATAATTTAAGCAATTTTTGACAAAATGGAACTTAGCATTTTTATTTAAAAAAAAAATAGTCGAATTAAGCAAAATCTTAAAGAAATTATATTCGTGATTAAATAATCTACATTTAATTTAATTAAAATGAAACGTGAATAGTTAATTTAAGATGCAATTTTAACAATGTTCTTTTTATTTGTGTAGATTCGTATCTGCATAGTTTCGTGTTAAATATTCATTTTTCTTTTACTATTAATTTTTTATTATTTTAAAACTCAAGAAGTTTAGAAAATGTATTTATATTTTTGCCTTTTAAACTAGTCTTAAAAATTTATACAGATATTTCAAAAACTGTTTTTAACTATTCATTTCCATGAATTAAATATGAATCCTATAAGTTCTGTAAAAGTTTTGTGTGTGTTTGAATAAACAAATAAACTTGAAAAGTATAAGAGGTTTTGTGTTTCTATATTTAATAATAAAAGTTTTTTAACATTCATTATTAAATATTTACAGAGATCAATTTTAAAATAGACTAACTGCTATAAAATTCTGTATAAATTACATATTACTGATTTTGTATTAATTAGTGCAATATTTATTGAACTAGAAAATAGAACTCGTATAAGAATTCCCAATACAGAATTTGCTTAGTTATTGGAAAAATTCAATGGAAGCTTTGTTGTAAAATTCCAGAATTTCTATGTAAATGGGACATTAAGAAGTTCATTCTAAGAAACGTATTATTTCACTTATGTTCTATATCACAAAAGTACCGGATATTACCTCGTAACCTACTAATACATTATGTCATTTCCGTCACATAGACAGCATATGTCAAACAGTCATACAAATACTCTAATGTAAGAGGAAAAATCGAATTGGTTTCTATGGTGATGATTCTTTTTCAACAAAGACAACTCAACTTATCGATGGTAAAAAAAAATTTAGCTTCCCACATCAAAATATTAATGTAATAGAATACGACTTTTATTACAAAAATATAAACACTGATCAAAATTCAATAAACAAAATTAAATTTTTCTCTCCACTGTAACACTGTATTAGAAATTGCATTCCTGTTTGCAATATAGTGAAGATCTTTTCACACTTTTATAAATGACCAAAATATGAAAGACATCCTATAACGTCTTTTATCTGCTTTTTTTACGAGATTTGTGCCTTGTCGTAAAGTATCGTAAAACGATGATGATTCAAAATGTATACGTTTTTATGTTCTTATATCTTAATAAGAATCGGAAATACTTATATTACCCATTATAATTTAAGATTTTCTCCAAAGATTTAAACATTTAATATACCTATATTTATAAATATTCGATTATTTTTTTTATTTCTTTCTAATTTTTCTTAACGGAAAAAAAGAAGCCATAAGCTATACTGTAACAATAAAATAAAAGTTAATTTTATAAATTTATATTATTATAATTTAAATTATTCATAGCTACCTTTTTCATATTAATAAGTTATTAGGAACATTCCGATTAAAACTCGCGGTTGTCTTTGTTGAGAATGAATTATCTCCATAGAAACCTCTTCGATTTTTCTCTCTTACATAAACTTTATGCTCTTTATGCCAAAGGAGGATATAATTTATATTTAAGGATTAATATAATTTGCCATTTTTAAATTTATGACGTAAGGTACGAGTAAAGATTAGCTTAGTTTCACTCAAACTAAAGTTTTATCTATATCTTACACAATTTTTCTATTATTAAAACTTCCTCGATTTATATTGAGAGTAGTTTTATTAAATTAATGGGTTTTATCTCATTATAATATTCATTATAAAAACCCGAAGATATATTTAATTTTTGTCCAATTATCTAGATTGAAACAATGTAGCAATAAATTATAGTATTATATTTATATATACAGATGTTTTAGCAATGAAATTCTTTCAATAATCAATTAAAATATATAAGGTTATTAAATAATATACATTAGTTTAGCTAAATTATCATCATTACATTCTTCTATTTTGACAGAAAATGTTCATTATGAACTGGATTTTAAGAACTAAACTGATTGTAAATTTTGAAATATATTTTATTATTTTAATGAATAATTTCGTAATAGAAAACCATAAATCTATTGGCATAGCAACGGTAAATATTTAGTAAACTTGTCTATGTTACGTGACGTCAAAATGAATCCGACCAATAATAGCTCGAAATTTATATTCTTCTTTCAAATTTGAAATAAGAATACAACTCTTATTCGTTACTTCTCTAGTTCGTCAAGCCATTGACGATTAGAAAGCACTAAAAATAAAATACAATCCAATTTCTAGAAGTTGAAAAATCATAGAAACACGTTTAAATATACCAAAGAAAGAAGATTAGAGAAGCATTTTTATAAAAATGTATGTAATTAATATGATTTAATAGATATGTAATTATAAAATGGCATTATAGACATAACTATTTTCATAATTATTCTAAATATAAGCATAATAGACAGGTAATTATGATTTAAATATTATTTAAAATCCATAGTTTAATGAATTTTAAAATGTATAAAGATAAAAACGTCGTTTTATTTAGCTTCTTTAATTAGAATTTATGAATTTATTTAGTCAATAATAATAATAACAATAATAATCCTTAGAAAAGCATTATTTAAATCTAATTTTCTGTAAATATTAATCAAATTGTAATTATTATTTTATTACAAGTTAATATTTATAATGATGAATGTAACAAATTTTATTTTTTTAATTTATTTTTCTATTTAATAATAATTTTCTTGATAAATTTATTTAATTCTATTGATTTAATAATAACGTCATAATAATAAATCTATACTTTCAATTTTTAATTAAATAAATTTTAATCCGATTTTAATGTTTCGATTGAATCTACTCACTTTAAATTATTTTTCATTAAAAACTCTTTTAAAAATTACATTAAATATAATAAAATTTAATTAAATTGTCATAGTTACAATTAAAAATATGTAAACATAATATAAGCACGCATTTCATACAAATATTAGGTGCGATTATTGAATTTATCTATTTACATTATATCAAAAAAATTAATAAGAAACGAATTAACAACAGTTTATAAATTATATATTATTTAAAATATAGTTTTAAGTATTATTTAGCATCATATAACTTTAAAATATTTTATTATATTGCAAGAATATAAAAAAAAAACATGATAAATGAGAAAAAATTTAAGGATATTTTAAAACAATTTATGACAATAAAAATTGTGAATTTATCCACTTCTAACTTAACTACTATCCGGTATTAACTACTAAAGATGATTTCCAACATAATATTTGCTTATATAACTGGTGGTAGACAATAAATTGGCAAAGCTGCTCACATTAACTTTGTGATTACTGTGAATAGAGACCATCAACCACAAACTGGGTTAAAAGCATGCAGTTACAAACATTATGTCGATAATTCTCAATCTTGTTCAAATATACTTTTAAATTTATTAATGCTATATACATTTTTTAATCTAAGACTTGCAAACATTCATTTGCACGCATCACTTTGATCAATAAAGAGCATGACTTTGGAAATATTGTCATGATTTCGTAACATTTCTTGTTAGAAGAAGTTTCTTCCGAGTCTATTTGTCTAGCTTTATTGCCGATCACGATTTTGATGTCCAATAGCCCCATTGTTGCTAAGAAAAAGCAGTTTTAGCAGACAAACACAGTTTGCTAGAAATAAACAATAGAAACTCTCTCTATCTCAATCTTCATTTTATCTTTATTGCTTTAACCCGAATGGGTTAATTAAAAAGTTCTATTATTTTATTTGTTTGATAAACTCTATATTTAATTTAATAATTAACTATATAAGTTTATATCATAAAATTAAAATTGCTTAATTTATAGTTTAATTTATAATTTTTTAATATAATAAAAAATAAATTATATTAAAATTATCATTGGCTGCAGATAATGAAAATTTGGAAAAGGTTTATTATTTAAATCTTTAAGTATTTTAATTGATAAATATTTAAACTAAATGAATTTGAAAAAAAAAAATTAAATACTTAAATGAAGTATTTAGCTTTTAAATATATACTAGAAGGATTATTATGATTGATTTACCAATTAAATTCTCGTAATATGTTATAATCATTTATTTATTAGAAAATATAGCGTAATTAGTGTATAGTCAACATTTTCTTTCAAGTAACTGCTAATCGTATCTGTACACAAATTGACTCTATAATAGTCCATTAATTAGAATTTAATCATTTAGATATTTAAATTTTTGTTGACTTTATACTTGATTCTATTGATAATCAATAGAATCACGAAATTAATAAATAGATCATTATTATTATTTTCGGAAGGAAAAACTCTTGATTATAAAACTAAATTATTTTTGTTATAATTTTAAAGAATTAAAATAAATAATTAATTAAAATTAACTTGAACTTATAAGCATATAATTTGAATAGCTCTGTAAACTAACAAAAACTCCTATTTTTACATATAGTTCTGGAATTTTGAAGATAGAGAGTATCTCCGGGTAATCCAGATAGATTTGGAACACATCTCCATATCAAAAGCTTAGAAACTCTTCATATGTATATAGGTTCCTAAACACCTCCTTTCAATGCTAGAACTCTTCTATCCGTTATAACTAGGAAAAATACACCATAGTGTTATAAAATCAAAAATTACATTAATGCATATATATTCGTACACAAACTAGCAGGCTGTGATCTATAACTTGGACGTTTTGAATGTGTTTTTTTTTTTTTTTTTATCGAGTTTTGAAATATGCAAACTTTTAATGATTCCTATTTGTTTCTGAAATATGTATAAAATATTTAATATATTTGTCTTTGTTTCTTAGATCAATGTAAAGCCGGGTACACACGTACTGATATATCTGTCAGGTATACAGGTACTTGTGTACCTAGCTTAAAATAGGAGTATAATATGGTATAAGACCATTTTATACCTTTATGAAATAAAGGTATAAAAATGGTCTTAGGACATATTTATAATTTACATCAATCTTAGTGTAAAGGATGTGTTCTAGGACATTTCAAAAGTATTTAATTTTATAAAAGGAGTAGTTTACTTGTGAAAATTATAATAAAATCAAAGCTAAATAACTTTTAAATTATTCAATATTTCAAATATAAATAAACTGAACCAATTTCATTCGATAGTAGAATATAAGTTGTTAATATGACGGAAGTTTAGCTGCAAACGTTATTTCTTTACTTGATATTCCAGTACGATCTAATGTAAGAAAAGATCGATATTACTGAATTATTCTCAATACATCACGTTATTGCACGGATTGATAAATTTTTACATAATCTAGATATCCTATATCATTTTTTTACGTAACATAAACTTTTTAAATATCAACAATTACAAATTTAAATATTCTTGTAACCAAAATAGGTTATTTCCTCATTTGATAAATAATTTTGTTATTTATAGTCAAAAATTATAGATATAAAAATGGCCTTACGACATACTTATACAAATATAGTTTTAAGTATTATTTAGCATCATATAACTTTAAAATATTTTATTATATTGCAAGAATATAAAATAAAAACATGATAAATGAGAAAAAATTTAAGGATATTTTAAAACAATTTATGACAATAAAAATTGTGAATTTATCCACTTCTAACTTAACTACTATCCGGTATTAACTACTAAAGATGATTTCCAACATAATATTTGCTTATATAACTGGTGGTAGACAATAAATTGGCAAAGCTGCTCACATTAACTTTGTGATTACTGTGAATAGAGACCATCAACCACAAACTGGGTTAAAAGCATGCAGTTACAAACATTATGTCGATAATTCTCAATCTTGTTCAAATATACTTTTAAATTTATTAATGCTATATACATTTTTTAATCTAAGACTTGCAAACATTCATTTGCACGCATCACTTTGATCAATAAAGAGCATGACTTTGGAAATATTGTCATGATTTCGTAACATTTCTTGTTAGAAGAAGTTTCTTCCGAGTCTATTTGTCTAGCTTTATTGCCGATCACGATTTTGATGTCCAATAGCCCCATTGTTACTAAGAAAAAGCAGTTTTAGCAGACAAACACAGTTTGCTAGAAATAAACAATAGAAACTCTCTCTATCTCAATCTTCATTTTATCTTTATTGCTTTAACCCGAATGGGTTAATTAAAAAGTTCTATTATTTTATTTGTTTGATAAACTCTATATTTAATTTAATAATTAACTATATAAGTTTATATCATAAAATTAAAATTGCTTAATTTATAGTTTAATTTATAATTTTTTAATATAATAAAAAATAAATTATATTAAAATTATCATTGGCTGCAGATAATGAAAATTTGGAAAAGGTTTATTATTTAAATCTTTAAGTATTTTAATTGATAAATATTTAAACTAAATGAATTTGAAAAAAAAAAATTAAATACTTAAATGAAGTATTTAGCTTTTAAATATATACTAGAAGGATTATTATGATTGATTTACCAATTAAATTCTCGTAATATGTTATAATCATTTATTTATTAGAAAATATAGCGTAATTAGTGTATAGTCAACATTTTCTTTCAAGTAACTGCTAATCGTATCTGTACACAAATTGACTCTATAATAGTCCATTAATTAGAATTTAATCATTTAGATATTTAAATTTTTGTTGACTTTATACTTGATTCTATTGATAATCAATAGAATCACGAAATTAATAAATAGATCATTATTATTATTTTCGGAAGGAAAAACTCTTGATTATAAAACTAAATTATTTTTGTTATAATTTTAAAGAATTAAAATAAATAATTAATTAAAATTAACTTGAACTTATAAGCATATAATTTGAATAGCTCTGTAAACTAACAAAAACTCCTATTTTTACATATAGTTCTGGAATTTTGAAGATAGAGAGTATCTCCGGGTAATCCAGATAGATTTGGAACACATCTCCATATCAAAAGCTTAGAAACTCTTCATATGTATATAGGTTCCTAAACACCTCCTTTCAATGCTAGAACTCTTCTATCCGTTATAACTAGGAAAAATACACCATAGTGTTATAAAATCAAAAATTACATTAATGCATATATATTCGTACACAAACTAGCAGGCTGTGATCTATAACTTGGACGTTTTGAATGTGTTTTTTTTTTTTTTTTTATCGAGTTTTGAAATATGCAAACTTTTAATGATTCCTATTTGTTTCTGAAATATGTATAAAATATTTAATATATTTGTCTTTGTTTCTTAGATCAATGTAAAGCCGGGTACACACGTACTGATATATCTGTCAGGTATACAGGTACTTGTGTACCTAGCTTAAAATAGGAGTATAATATGGTATAAGACCATTTTATACCTTTATGAAATAAAGGT